GGGGGCGGCGGCGGCCGTCGCAGGTGAGGACGAGGCGGCGCCCGTCTGCATCGGCTCCTGCCTGGTGGACATCTCCTACAGCGAGACCAAGAGGAGGCACGTGTTCCGGCTGACCACCGCTGACTTCTGTGAATATCTCTTTCAGGCTGAGGACCGGGATGACATGCTGGGCTGGATCAGAGCGATCCGAGAGAACAGCAGGGCCGAGGGCGAGGTGAGGGCCCGGCCGCCCACCCGGGGTCTGGGGTGACGGGGAACGGGTGGGGGGCCCCAGGGCCGCCCCTCACCCGCGGTGGACCTCGTCAACCTCTCTGAGCCTCAGTCCCCTCGTCCGTAAAATGGGCTAACCGGAGCGGGCCTTGAGCTCCACCCACCTGGGCTTTGGTGTGAAGAGAACACGCAGACAGCGGCTCCCAGAGCCCCTGGCATCCTCCGTGTTCCCTGGCTGGCAGTAACAGTAATAACTGGAGGAATGACACTAATGATTATTATTATCATTATTAACTATTCTTATTACTGCCTTGGGGGGGCTCTGGCACAGAGAGGTCAGCTCCAGGCCAACCTCAGATTGGGGTTCAGGAAGCAGGGGTTTCTTCTGGAGGGTGTTACAGAAGGAGGTGCCCGGGGCCAGAACTGTGGCTGGCACTGCTGACAGGACTGGCCTGTCAGCGGGGCACAAACACATTGACCTTGGGAGGAGGCCAAGAGGATTGGCCTTTGGCAGCAGGCTGCACTGGGTTGAGCCAGAGGCTTTGGCAGGGATTTCAGGGTAATTTTTAGATGGCGCCCCCTCTTGGGCAGCTGCACCTGCACACCAGGAGCCTGGGCTGGGGTGTCCGCCGCCCCTCTCCCCCTTGGCCAGGTGCCTGCACAGTGATGTGTCGGCACACCTGCACGGATTTCACGTGGGGGTCCTGGGCTCAGGGGCTGGTCTCTGCCCGAGGATGGTGGGCCTGGGCCCTGGTCCACGTGTGCACCTGCTCGGGCCATGGGGAGAGGGGCCCTAGTACAGAGCTCCTGGGCCACAGACCCTCTCACTGAGGGGAGACCCGTCCTCTTGCTGAACCAGGCTCTGCTCTCCTCAGAACATTGTCTTTCCTTACTGTGGGGAGGAAAGTACCTGGAATCTGTGGTCCCTGCTCTGGGGGGCCTGGATGGGCTGTCCCCAGCAGGGCATAGTCAGGGGGGTCCCAAGTGACCTTCATTATTGCAGTAGCTGCCTGTCATGGGGCACGTCCTCTGTGTCTTGCCAGGAATGCGATCAGTGCTACATGTGTAATTCTGCACCCCAACCCCGAGGTTGCCGTATTATCTCCTTTGCTACTATGGAAGAGACTGAGGCTCAGAGAGGCTAGTGGGTTACTCTAGGTCACACAGCTGGTGAGGGGGCGCTCGGGAGTCCAGCCCTGGTCTTTCTCGCTCCAGGGTGTGAGCCCTCCAGCTGACAGATGGAGGAGAGAGGGGAGGCAAAGCGGAGGCTGGGGCCAGGGATGAGACCTGAGTTGGCTGGCTGTGGGCACTGATAGGGTCTATTTTTTCTTTCCTCTCCTCCAGGACCCCGGCTGTGCCAACCAAGCTCTGATCAGCAAGAAGCTTAATGATTATCGCAAAGTAAGGTGAGGCCCGCCTCTCCTAAACAGTCCTGGCCAGGGGGTAGGGGCACTCCAGACAGAGGTCATCCTCCTGGCCCACCTCTAGGCCTGAGGGCAGCCCCTGAGTCACCCTATGCTGGGGGCAGGCAGGGTGGCAGGGGCATCGAACCCATTGCTTCAGGGATGGAGAGGGAGGTCCAGAGTGGTAGGAGGCTAGGGCAGGTGGCATGTTGGGTCACGCCAGATGAAGACTTCTCCTCTCCCCCTTTTCCTACACAGCCATAGCTCTGGGCCCAAAGCTGATTCCTCCCCCAAAATCTCTCGTGGCCTGGGGGGCCTCAAGTCTGAGTTCCTCAAACAGAGTACTGCACGTGGCCTCAGGACTCAGGACCAGCCTGCAGGGAGCAAGGGTAGGAAGGTGGCTGCTAAGGGGGTAATGTGTGTGTGTGCGTGTGCATGTGGGACGGTGGGGGTCAGCCCTGTGGGTCTGCATGGGAGCCGAGGGCGTGTGTGTGTGTGTGTGTGTGTTGCGGGGGGTGGGTGCCTGTGAGGGTCTGGGGGCTCTCAGCGTCTCAGGGCTGGAAGGGCCTGGAACCTCATTTCCCTCCATGACATCCCAGCTGGGTAGCCTCCAAGTCTCTGCTCGTATCTCTTCAGGAGCAGGAGGCTCATCCTCTCTGGAGGCAGCCTTTTCCATCTTTATACACTTCGGGCTACTAGAAAGTTCTTTCTTTGGTCGTACCAGAATCTAGGGCTCCCACCTTGTTGTTTTAGCCGTTGAGACCACATAGAAGTCCTTACGTTCCTCTGTGGCATGCGTCCTCAGGACCACACACCCTCATGTCTTAGATCTTCCCTCAGGATATAATTTTCCATCAGCCCTCAGCATTCCAGTAGCTTCTCTGATGGAGTCCCCATATGTCCAAACATGGGTGAGTGTGTGTGGCCAAGTGTGGTTGCTGCCCCTCCCCAGGCCCCCCCGGGCTCACCTGGCTTTGTCTGCCTTCCCCCACCCCAGATGACAGTGCTGCCCCTCCCAAAACCCCCTGGGGCATCAACATCATCAAGAAGAACAAGAAGGCAGCCCCTAGGGCTTTTGGGGTCCGGCTGGAGGAGTGCCAGCCGGCCATAGAGAACCAGGTGAGTCGCGCCATACTCCGGAGCGCGCGGGGAACGGGGGAGCCCAAGGCGCAGAGGGCCAGAGCTGAGGGACTCTGGAACCAGCGCTCCATCTCATCTTGCAGACCCAGTGGTAGGAGGGGTGGGGGAGCACCCAGGGAGGGAACAGCAGAGCTGAGGCAGAACCCAGAATCGCTGGCCTGCAGCTGGGCGAGGCTCTGGTGTTCTGTCTAGCCCCCAGACTGGAGGCCGTCCCGCACGGGGCTCCCAGCAGCTCTGGGCTTGCGCGGCTCCGGTCTTGGCCTTCCTGCCTCTTCTGGCCCACTGGGGGAGTTCCTGCCCTTCGCCTTCCTAACGTGCCTGCCCTGCCTGTGTCCCCAGCGGGTCCCCCTGATCGTGGCCGCGTGCTGTCGCATTGTGGAGGCACGGGGGCTGGAATCCACGGGCATTTACCGAGTGCCAGGCAACAATGCAGTGGTGTCCAGCCTGCAGGAGCAGCTCAACCGTGGGCCCGGTGACATCAACCTGCAGGATGAGGTGGGTGTGGGGGGGCAAGGTGCTGTGTGTGTGTCTCTTGTGGTCATCGGACCCTGCGATGTGCCTGGCAGTGAGCCAGGGCCCCGAGATGGGCGAGGCAGACCTGCCCCGGCAAGCCAGATAGAGACACGCTCATGGCCGGGCAGCCCTGAGGCCGAGGCTCGCAGGTGATAGTTTCGGGGGCCTTGAGGACGAACAGCGTTCACTAAGTGCCCGTGAAAGCCGGGTAGGGACATCCCAGGCTAAGGGAATGGCCGGGGCAAAGGCGCGGGCTCTGAAGGGTCACCAGCAGCCAGCTCACCTTCTCTGTAAAGGGCCAGGTGGCGAACGCTTTAGGCTTTGGTCACCACGCGGTCTCTTCCTCCTCCTCCTCCTTCTTCTTCACAGCCCTTTATTTTTTATTTTTTAAAGATTTTGTTTATTTATTTGAGAGAGAGAATGAGATAGAGCATGAGAGGGGGGAGGGTCAGAGGGAGAAGCAGACTCCCTGCTGAGCAGGGAGCCCGATG